AAAAAAGAAGCTTATTTTCGTAAAAATGGCTTTTTCTGTAATACAAATTGGTTCAGAGCATTGACTCCACCCATAGAAATGCTTTGTTCTTGCCACCCTGAGCTGTGTTATACTGTGGATCCTCAAGATGTGTCTGCAGTGAGGTGTCTACCAATGCGGTGCTTATCCTCCTGGTCCTGTAAAACCTCCTTTCCGCATGTTTGTGACGGCTGAAAGCCAGTGTCTTACGTGGGTTTCCCTTCAGGTCAATGTTGTATGTTAGCATTAGCAGAACTTCAGCCTTCATGGACTGGTGTAGCATGAATTTGGGTTTTACTACCCAGCATTTACCAACGTTGCAGTAACAAGCCCCATGTTGTGTTGACGCATGGCCAGCTGGTTAGGGACGGCCAATCCCAGTGGGTCCCACTCCATACTAATGGAGCCAAAACCAAGCAAGCGAAGCTTCTAGGTGAGTCGCAGTGACTGGCCAGAAAGAGCACCATGGAGGGAGGGCCTGGTGGGTGTGCGTGGTTGTGGAGGTGATGGTGCTGTTCCCAGACGCCCTGTGCATGAAGCCAGTCCCATAGAGTTGCAGGTGATTTTGCCTTCCTCCCTCTGTCATCCGCAGGCCGGCGCTGCACGGGGGTGGAAAGCTGCCTTCTTGCCCTTCTTTCATGACCAGTCTTTGCCTTTGCCTGTTCTCTGTGTGTTTCCTTGTCTGTGTATTTCTCTTTATTCCAGTTCACCACCCTGGAAGTAAGATAAAGCGCTCTGACTCCAGCTCCTCGATTGCCAGTCAGTCTCCGATAGGTTGGCCTTTTTCTGCTTTGCCACTTTGCCCAGCAGCCCTTTCCTGCCGTCGAGAATGGCTTTGCTTTCTGCCCAGTCTCAACCTCCACCCCTGTGCCCCCACTTCCCCCCCACCTGCCACCTGCTGCCTCTGGGAACGCTGTGGCAAGGCGGGGCTGCAGCTTTCACGACAGCTGGTACTGTGGTCTGTTTGAATGTCTTCAGCCCTTATGGCTTGGTGGGTCTTGTATGGGGCTGACGATCACACCCGCCACATAGCGTGCTGTGATAGGGAGGTATGAGCTCAGCTTTGGATCCAGAAGTCTTTGCTGTCTTGATCTGAGGTGCTGAAGTGGATCCCCATCACCACAGTATCTGGGTGATGCACCGTCATCCTCATGCTGTAGCTGCGCTTGGTTGTGGGGGGGGGAGTTTATTTGCAGTTCAAAGATACAGACGTAAGGCCAAGAGTGACCGAGTGACTTACCCACTTGGTCATTTGGGGAATCTGGGTTAGAGCAAAGTGAACCCCCAGATCTTCCCAAACCCAGGCCAGTTTCTGGCCAGGAAAGTGTCCTCATCTCCTACTCCCTTACCTAGCTCAGTCCCAGGAATTTGATTTCAAGAGAGAGTAGATTCTAGTAGAAACACTTGAAGATAAAGCCAGGAACTTCCTTTTCTTTTCTGCCTACAGAAGTGACTGGGGAGTTCGGAGCAGTGGTCTGTCTCTTGAGTTTCGGAAATGTCTGTATTTGAAATGTCTCCTGGATGGATTGTAATGCCTGTCCTTGGATCCTGTTAACTTCCCAGTCCCTTCCTGTAATGCCTGATAGACCAAATCCATTTGGGTTTGAGGTGTGATCTTCAATTGTTTGGGATGGAGACAGTGAGCCTGATTCCCTCAGTTTCCATTTATAAAATGTGCAGAGGAGAAATTTCCTGACAAGGTCTTGCCTGTTGCTCCTCCCTGATGGTTTCTAGAAAGACCGACCTGCATAGCACATGAAGGTGAAGCACTTGGGCTGCTCCATTGGTTTTTTGTCTTCCTGGAGTGTGGGTGTCCTAGGATTGTCTGGGCATAGCTAATCCTTGCATCATGCTGCCTGCCAGCAGCAGGGCACTGTGGTGCTCTCATTCCCCCTGTCATTCCCCTAGCACTGGGTAGGATTACTTTTACAGGCTCCTTTGCAGCTGTGGGTTGAGAAGTGTTGGAGCCAGGTGTTTTTGCAGATCCCTTTGGACAAGTGCTTGCCTGGGAAGGCAGGAGAAGCCAGGCCATGATGCTCCCATGTTGCACTAGGAGTTTTGGAAACACTTCATGCCTGTGTGTGTAGTGTTTGCAGGCCATGCCAGGGGCGATAAATGCCCCTTCAAGCCAGACAGCAGACTGCATAGCTGTTCAGTCAGGTCTTTATAGGGTGGGACGTGAGTAAACTAGAGCTTTTTTCTTCTCCTTGTGCTCTTTGCCTCTGGCTGTTGCATTGTCTTGGTGTTCTATGGTGCAAGTGGAGGGTGCCTCCATGTCTGCGAAAGGATCTCCCCCTGCTTTGTTTCCTGTTTCGTGCTTTCAGATGTCACAGCCAATATTTGATGTCTGTGGAGCAGCATGGGAAGCCACATCAAAAGAGAGTAAGCCAGGCCCGGCTTTCAGTGCAGTAAGGCAGCACAGGGAAAGCCCTGGGGCCCTTGGTGCTGTGGTATAGTGTAGCTAAGACTAAGGCAGTGCCCATTCCACTGTGCGCTGCCTGTGCAGCTCCATGCATGCTGGTTTTAAAAAGATGGCAACAAGATGGAAGGAAAAGAGAAGCAGAGAACATGGGAAGAAGCAAAATCCTGTGGCTTCTCTCGAGAGCTGTCTAGCTGAGGGTGGGAGCAGCCAGGTATGCTGGAGGTAAATGAAGCGAAGCATCGACTAGGGGACAGCAGCCAGGAAGAACCGTGTAAAGGAACGTGTGAAACGCCCACGGTCCCCAGCACTAGAACACACCGTTCTCTCCCGGGGAGACAGAGACGGATGCATGGTGTGGAGCTGAGGGCTCCGCCAGGGACTGCTTCTAGCCCACGTTGGTTGGAGGCAGAGTGAAGGCAACACAAGGACCCCACTCACAGGGAGACCAAAGGGAATGTATAGCAACGTTGGTGGGAGCCTCCAGCCCGGCCCCACCTGGATGGAAGGGAAAACCCCAGAGGTATTGCAAGAATTGCCGCTCTCTGCAGTCCACAGCTGATTGTCAAGAGGTCCGGTTGAACCAATGTCCATCTGTCCCTCCATCTCCCTGCAGGGTCTTTGAGATATTAATCACTTCGGGTCTGTCTTGGGAAGTTGATGCTTAATTGTTCTTTGCTTCTGGTGTCCGAGGGATGGTTGCTGACCTCAGCATGATTTACCAGCCGTGCTGCTTGCCTGTTTTAACCTCTGGGATTATTAGTGCACCTCTGCTTTTTGCCCTGTCCTGTAAGTGCTTTGCAGCCACCACTTGAGAGTGCGGACACCCAGGATCCCCTTCCCCCAGGATTCCCTCCACACAGCGCTTCAACTCTGCAATTGCTTCTCTGGCTTCCTGGTTTGTAAAGCATTAAGTCCAAAATGACTCCTTTGTCCTGGAAGGCTTTATGCATGGCCTTGCTCCTCCCTTCTTTGTGAGTCCCGGCGGGTAGGGGGATACCAGCAGCTGCTGATCTTCATTGCATTTCACATCCGCAGAACCTGCGGGTGCCTCATTCCTTCCTTCCAGGGGGAAATAGAGACCCTGCAGCTTGTGGGGCTTTGGGATCCAAATTTGTCCTCTGCCCCGCAACTGCTCTGTGGTATCTTGGGAAGATTGGGTGCTGGGTGCCAGAGCAGGTTTCACAGGTGTTTTCTTTGGTGCTTGGAAACTGGCTTATGAGTGTCGTCAGCTGCTGTGCTAATGTTAACTGGGTTTGGTAAATAAAGTTAAATAAAGACCTCCCCACCCCTGCCTCCTGGGGCTCAAGTGAAAGGCACAGTAGAATAAGCAGAATGGGGCTGTTTGAACTCGGGGACCTCCAGCGTTCATTGGAGCCTGACCTGTGAAGTCACCTTGTTGCAGCAGAGTGAGAGTGGTGGCAGTTTTGCTCTGCTATGGCAGGGGTGATGGCGAGGAATCCTTCATGGCTCCAAGGTGAAGAGTCGCATCAGAGCATTGTCTGGCCTTTCTGCCTGGCTTCCTTGGGATAAGCGCAACTCAGGCAAAACCCTGTGGGGTGCACCTTTCTCAGGGCATTTATTGTCCTTGCTCTCCTCCTTTCAGCACGAGGAAGGACCAACCTGGAGCTTCGAGAGAAGTTCATTTTGCCAGAGGGAGCTTCTCAAGGGATGACGCCTTTCCGGTCCCGGGGACGGAGATCCAAGCCATCTTCCCGGGCAGCCTCTCCCACACGATCCAGCTCCAGCGCCAGCCAGAGCAACCACAGCTGCACTTCTATGCCGTCCTCTCCAGCAACACCTGCTAGCGGAGCTAAGGTAGGGCTCCTACTCCAAGCCACGCTTTAGCTTTGCTTTCCCTTAGACAACAGAGCTGCTGCTCCACTACTCAAAACCCACTCCAGGGACCAAAGGGGCTGGATGGGAGGGGGCTAGGAAGACTTGGAGAAGCTAATGTGGCTGTGGTGGATGGATGCGTCTGTGCCAGAGCTTGGTTTAAACTGATGCAGGGTTGAGCCCACTGTCCACACTGAAAACTTTTTCCCAGTTGTTCGATCAGTAAGGTCTCCCCTACCCCATCTGCACGCAGTTATCTGCAGGATGGGGACTAGCAGAGGATGACATAAACCAGACTCACAAAAGGGTTGGAGTTGCTGCTTCAGGTTGGCCGTGTTGGTTTTCACTGCTGTGTTCTCCTAGTCGCATTCAAGGTCTGTGTGCAAGGAGCAGGCTCACATCAGAGGGCCCAGGAGAACATGAGGATCTACAGGAGGAAAGCAGTGCCTTTTTTTTTGTCTCCTTTTCACCACATCATGCATTGTTATTTGGTTGTCCATTTCCTTTAGGATTTATGTATTTTCTGTTTGTTCTCCCCATTGCCCCCTCCCCTACATCCTGGATACTTTTCTGTTTCGTTTGCACTCATTTCCACCTCTTCCCCCCCCCCTTCTCCCTCCCCTTTCTTTGGATTTTCCATTTCACAGACTCCACATCACTTCTCTCGCTGTTATGACAAACCCTGGTTGGCAAACAGTAAGGCTGGCAACCCTGCCAGGGGCTACGATAATGCCGACCTCAACCTCTCGAGCGCTGAGGTAGAGTATGGCCCTCCTGGTCCCAAAGGGCAGGGATGCTCCTGCCAAAGAGATGTCCTGCTTCCTGTCCCTGTTCAAAGCTTCCCCTTCACAATAGCAGCGCTTGTGAGCACAGCTAATGCTAAGGCTGGTTGCATTTTTCATGGGTTTCTAACTCGGGTTTCAAAAAAAAGAAAAAAGTCATAATTAGCATAAAACTCTCTGTGTGAGATGCCGCCTTGCCTGCAGTCAAGTGTCAGCCTGTTTTGGAACAGCTTCAAAGGGGCGCTAATTAGCGGTTTGTTAATTCTGTCATTTTTCCTGGCTTTGGCTGCTTGCTTTTCATATGAAAACTACATGCACGCAGTGAAATGGATTAATATTCCAAGAGACATAAAAGAGCCGAGTTAACACTTGAAAAACCAGCTCCAGCACATGTCCGGGATCCACTCGCATAGAGTTTTATCAACCATGACTCCGACACTCTGCTGTAGCATGTGTGATGAGTCCTGTGTCCCCTCCCCACCGCCCTACCACTGGTGTGAGCCCCCCACTGCTCTGGTACAGCTAGGAGACTGCCGCTTCTTGAGGCTTCAGCCTTCACACTGCATTTTTTGGCTTCTGAAGACTGGGGTAAGGGGGGAGGGGGCTGGAATTTGAAGCACAGATTTTGTTGATTATAACTTGCCCATCATTTGTCACGTCTGAAATACTCAGCCTCCCCTTAAGAGTAGCTATAGAGAAGCAGCGGTGTTCCCTGTGAGAGAGGATTGCTGATCTCGCGACAGCATAAAGAAGGCGTTTGGAAACCATGACCCTTTCTTGTTATAAGAGATGACTGAGGACCAAGATGAGGTCCTAGAATGACCTCAAGGGTGAAAGCAGGCCCTCTGCAAGTAACCCAGTGCCAGGGAGAGCTGTCTAAGCGATGTTCCCTGTTGTTAAAGTGAGCGGTGGAGCAGGCTTTAGCGCCCGGGCCAGGGTTTGCTTCGGTGCTTGCAACGTGGCACTGGAAGTCACCTGCTGCAGAGGCACAGCTCTCTGCCCTCTGCTTCCCATGCCTTCTCCGTAGCTCCAGCTTCACAAGACTTCAGAGAAAGGCAAAAGCTGGAGGGGGCCAGGGGAAATCTCTCTGCCTGTCTGTGCCACGGGTTCCAGAGAGGCCCTCCTAGCACTAGGCAGCCATGCATTTTTGCAGTGACCCCAACGCAGCATTGTCACGGGATAGCTGAGCCACTCTGCCCAGCATGGCTAGCAGTTGCCAGAATCCCCAGACCCGAGGGACTGACTGTAACACCTTGGGTTGCTAGTAGCCCTGCAATGACTGGATACCGCCTTAAAACCAACGCTGGGTTTATTTTAGAAACTGGAGCTGCTCTTTCCAGTTGAACTCAGGAGTCCTCTTCTCAGATGTTCTGACTTTCCTGCCTTGCTTTCTTCAGTGTCCTCTTTCTGTGGTGAGAGAAATAGCAGGGGGAGAAAGCTGTGTGTGTTGTGTGTTGCTTTCCCTGCTGTTTATTTGTGGCATCTTAAAGGTCACGGAAAACACCGTCACAGGAAGAAAAGAGCAGGCAGGGTAGAAAGTGGCAGCAGCCTCTTTTAGAAGGGCTCTGTTGCACTCTGTTTTGTGGGTTTATTCATCACGAGAGTCTTCTGGTTACTTGGATCATTTTAATTCTTCTGTGAGTTGAAACTTGGTGGGGTGGCCACGTCTACACGTATCCTCCATAAGGTGAAGTCCTTCAGTACATAAGTTGGTATGAGATTTGGCACATTTCCACAAATGAAGACATGCAGTCACCAAAAGAAGGTGGTCTGTAAAACGATCCTGGCTTCAGTAGATTCTGTGGGATTGATTTGCGCGCGTGCGCACACTAAATTATATAAGGTTTTCTTTCTTTGTGCCTTTTTAGCCCCCAGGCAATACCTGTCTTTAAAGTGGACTACAAATTTCAGGTATTTTTAGCCACAGATTGACAGTGTGTCCACCTTAATGTATAAAGCACAGCAAATGGAAGGTAGTGGACTGGAGATGGGTTTGATGGGAGAAATTTGCAAATTAATTGGGGAAATGAGGGAAACTTTTATCGGCTGTCTTCAATGAACAAAGCCCTTGCTGCCATCAGTCTTCAGGGACCTGGGCTGTTTTTGGACTACAAATGCAGTTTCTCTGTGTTTGCCTTGACCTTTAAGATGGCAGTGTTTGTATGCCAGAATCCTGTTGCCAAGGTTCAGATTTGCCATCAGTATTCACCTGTTTTCAAAGTGGGTAACAGCTAACACTCTGTCTCCATACTCTTCATTCAAAGGTGACCCCCGCGACAGGTAGCAAGTTGAAACGACCCACTTTCCATTCTAGCCGTACTTCCCTTGCCGGCGACACCAGTAACAGTTCATCTCCAGTTTCTACAGGTGCCAAAACCAGCCGGGCTGGTAAGTCATAGCCTAAACGTTTTCCCTCTAAGAGACTCTACTTCTTTTCACTGCCATTCCTAGCACTGAGGGACTCTGGATATGCAAGTGTAGTGCTCCCACATAAAATGTGTGATTATACCTGCTGCTTTATTTATCCGTGTACGTGTAGCAGAGAGACCCTCAGCAATTGTCACGACCCTGAGGTGTTTCGTATGCATGTTGAGAAGGGTTGTCTTTAAAACTCGTATCTGAAATGATGTGGTTGTGATGGTCCGGGAAATATTTGTGAGGCAAGGATTTCCATCGGTGATATCTTTTGTTGGACCAGCTGCATGGTTGGGCTAGACTGAGATAATTTGAATGCAATCCATTCTTCTCCAGTAGTACCTAAGTCATGCATCATGGTGAAATCCTTTGTGGAGGATTTGTGGAGTGGGTCCAATTTTCTGATACCAAATGTTCCTGCGATTAGTAATTCTGTGCTTCAGGAGTGTCCTGGCAAAGTGTTAATCTCCAGAGTCATCTAGTCCAACCCCCTGCCTCAGGCTGGATCATCCCCATCCAAACCATCCCATAAAAACTATAATCTAAACTCTACGTAAGATTGCTGTCAACGTTGACACAACACAGACCTACTACAAGTTCCACCTTATGGATCCGGTGCTGGATTAAGAGGAGCCAACCACACACTTGACTTCTCCAAAGGCTCAGAGAATCATAGAAAATGAAGGGTGGAAGGGACCTCAGGAGGTCACATCTAGTCCAACCCCTTGCTCAAAGTAGGATCAGCCCAACTAGGTCATTCCAGCCAGGGCTTTGTCAAGCCGGGCCTTAAAAACCTTCAGGGATGGAGATCCCACCACCTCTGTGGGTAACCCATTCCAGTGCTTCACCGCCCTCCTAGTGAGAGAGTTTTTCCTAATATCCAACCTCAACTTCCCCTGCCGCAACTCGAGAGCGTTGCTCCTTGTTCTGTCATCTGCCACCACTGAGAACAGTCCAGGTCCAAGAGTTAGGAGTTACACTTTCAACAATATAAGTCTCGAGTCAAGAGTTCAAGGAGAGTTGTCCGCTGTCATTGTAGAAAGCGATCAACAAGATTGGAAATGTGTTCACGGCCCACTCTAGCGGGCGCAGAGATATT